GGCTTCACAATGTCCTCATAGACAACTTTTCTCTTCGCATCCCAGACTACCCATAGAGTGATGGCCATCCAAGTGAACCGGTCCGGATTAAGAGCTTCATTGAGTGCAAACAACCAATCACGTGGATCATCGTTGACATGTTGACACATTTTCTGGACCAGCTCTTCTTCCGAGAGCACCCATACGCAGCGGGCCATGGTGCAGTCGATCATCGTGTGTCTCCAAGAGTCCAGAGCTCCGCAAAGCATGCAAGCCACCGAGTCCGCCATATGTCTTTGCTCGAGCACGTCGGCTGTTGGAATAGAGCTTCCTACAAGTCTCTACAAAAAGAATTTGACCTTGGGTGGTAACTTTACCTTCCATAATGATGACCACGAGTTCCTCTCTTGTTCAGATCCTGAAGATCCCTCCACTTCATCAATCCAAGATTCTCTCAAAAGTTTAGTGTTTATGATCATCCTGTAAGCTGACCTTACCGAAAAGCCACCCCTCTTCTCCCTGCTCCATGCCCAAAAATCATTGATATTTCTAGTGCAAAGGGGAATGCTCAAGACTGCCTCAGCGTCTATTGGGAGGAAAACTGGTCGGATTAGTGCTTCGTCCCATGTGGCAGTCGTAGTGGAGATTAGTTGAGACACCAAAATCAGCGGGTTCGAAACCCTCGACGTGATGGCTCTCATCATGCCCTGTATTGGTAGCCAGTTATGCTGCCAGATATCTGTTGTATGTCCATTCTCAATCCTACGTATAATACCTTGTCTTAGCATATCCCGTCCGTCAAGCACTGCCCTCCAAATCTGGGACGGTCTCCCGCCTAGCTCAGCTTCCAATAACGTGGACTCCGGAAAGTATGCAACCTTCAAAATTCTTGCGCTCAGAGAATTAGGCTCGGTCAATACTCTCCAGGCCTGTCTGGCAAGCAAAGCAAGATTAAAAATTTCCGTATCGCGAAAACCGAGACCGCGCAAGTGTTTTGGCCTAGTCATGATCCCAAGCCACCCCGCTAGGCTTCCTCTTGCCCGCTTTGCTTCTCCACCAGAACTGACGGATGATGAAAGTGATGTTCTCACATAGGCCCCGCGGAAGCCTGAAGCAAGCCATAAAAAATAGGCAGGGCGTAATAAAGCTCTCACATAGGGTCCGGGAACCTTTCTTTCGTCCCATCTCAGCTGGTGACGGCGTAATAAAGCTTCGCGAATTGTTTAGAAAAACTATGTCGTTCTGGACAGTCTATTTTATGCTTAGATTTTTTACGAGTTTTTATTAATGTCAAATAGTTATCGCTAGATGGTCCACGAATCTGATTGTAATTTTTATTATCTTTAATGTTTTTTGTACTATGACGATTGAAGTTGAGTTTCTCACAAAAAAAGTTTCAAAGATTACTGACTTTTTTCTGAATTGCTAATTTTTTCATGAAAATTGTTTATGAGGTTAATCTACAACCAGCTGTATCCTGGTATTTTCCACATCGTTCTATGTTCCTTCTTTTTTTTTTAATTGTTTGGATTGCTTACCATGTGTGACCTGGTTTTCTATTCCCCTTCTCAACCTCACCCTGGAGCCTCACGGCCAAAAAAAAAAGAAAAGACTCATCGTCGACCCGGGCATACCCGAGCCCTGGTAGGTTTGGCTCTCCTCCCTCGGGCGGCGGCGGCTGAATCTCCTGCCACCGGAGTCCCTTCTCTTCACCGGCCGGTGGATTGGCTCCACCCTCCCTCCCAAATCCCCCGCCCCCGATCTTCCTCCTCCTCCGCGCCCTACATCG